TATATATACGGAAGAATGTTGTAAACATCGCATCGTTTTTCCGCCCTCTAACTTGTTGATTATTAATTTGGACAGCGTGCCGCCACAAACGAAATGAAATAAATATTTCGATATCGATGATTCCGTCGGAATCAATTCCACCTCAATTTCCGATAACTGTTCTCCGTAAAAATAACTAGTAATTAATAAAAAAAAAAAAAAGGAGGGAAATAAAACGCCGTCGAAGAAGATTGCACAATTTCGAAAATATCGATTTACCTCGAGGTTAGAATCGAGGTTGGAAAAGTTGGAAACAATTGGATGGAAACGAGGAAGCAAGACGTTTGTCATTTTGGATCCTTATACTTATATGTATATCTCTATCCCCGTTCTAAGATCCGCCGTTAATTATCGTCGACGAAATTCCTTGGCTAAGTCCAGTAAACCTGACTTAAGGCAAACTCTGTTCCACTTTCGTTTAAAATTTAAGCAGAGCTTCGAACTCGGCTTAGGGGCATCTTCTGTTTCCGGTACGTGTAATTCACCACCAGTAACGGGTGTTTCCCCGGCGTTACTTTAACCGGCTGGTATCGAGAATTCTATCGAGATCCGATATTAGACGATCGAGAGTGCACGATTACTCTCGTCTATTACTATTATTTGCCCCACTTTCTGCACGAACGCTCTACGATCAACTTTCCAACACGTTCGATCGTTCTTTCCTATTATTCACGACTCTTTATCGTTTTCTCTTTTTTTTTTTCTCCTCCCGGATGGAGAAAAGTTCGAAGATGGAACTTTTGGATCCGCAATTCTCAATTAGAAAATATTCTTTTGTTTCGTTTAGAACGAAACGAGTGAAGTGAAACGATATGAATAAAGAAAATTACGATTTATTTCGTTATTTCTCTTTCGAAGATGAGAAACTGTTTGGCGGGAAATAAGATCGAGAAAAAAAAAAAGAAAAGAAAACGAAGAATTGATCGATACACGCGTTACGTTTCCCAGCTAACTCGAGTGGAAAGTTGAGAAACCGTTTCCCGTTAAGTTAGAATAAAGAACACCGTCGAAAGATTATGAAATATATCTGCCTTCCATCGTTTGTACTGTATTATTATGATGAAAGAGGATTACCCAATAATTTTCCGGAGACTGAATACCAGGATCATCTGCAAGAATCCGTTGACTCAGGGTTATTTCTCGTCTTATCCCTCTCGTCTTCTTCTTCTTAATTCCTTCTTCTTCGTTCCTTCTCGTTCAACGTTATACGCCCTTAACAATCACGGGTAACAACAATTCCATTAAAGTCTCTCGAGTGCTCTTTCAATTTACAAAGCTGCACCTAAATTTTCAATTATGAATAAACTACTATTACTACTACTACTACTACTACTGCTGCTATTCGAGAAAACATCGAGAAACTGAAAAACGTTTTTCGTTTGGGAAAACAAAGTTTTCTCGACACAAGAGGAAGTAGAAGAAGAAGAAAAAGAAGAAGAAGAATCTCGTAAAATTTTCTTCAAACTAACCGAGCCCTGAATCAAAAGAGGGGAGGGAGAGGAAAAATGAATACGAAACTATTTCGCGGAGAGGGGAACGTTTTGCCATCGTTTCCTTCCATCTATCAGCCTACTTTTCACCCTTTCCCTCATCGAGCGCGAAAATGGTGAGCGAAGTTTCAATCTTGCATTCGAGCTTTCCCTCCAACGCGCCGGATAACGGCGCCGGTCGATGCGCTTTCACGCTAGTAGCGGGAGCTGGCGGGAGTTAAATTTCAAAGGAAACTCATTTGAAACTTCGATGCCGGCCAAACGCGGCCGCGCCTTGGAAAAACTACTTTTGTGCCGAATACCTCTCTGCCCTCTGCCCACCTTGGCGAACTCCTCCTCGGCATCCGCCGAGGAAGGATTGAAAGGAGGGAGGAGGATCCCCTCCCAACTGCATCGGATATTTCAAAACCAGATGCTTTCGAGGGGGCGAAGAAAGGATCCGGGAAGAGGCAACAAAGGCAAAAGGGCTTGGAACGCCTCCGCGGTATGCCGTCCTGATACCACCCGCGAGAAAGATCGATGAACCACCCGACTTCCTTTCCACCGCGCAGCGACACCTGCTCCCAATTGCACAACTTTTCCCGCCAACTTCTCCCTCTCTGATTCGCGGTCACTCTGGACGTGCACAGCTTTCACTCACGATTGTAACGGTACGATGCATCGATGAATTTTTTTTTTTTGGGAAAGATTTTATTCCATCGGTTGAGAAATTTTTCACGATTTTTCTTTTTTTTCTTTTTTTCTCTTTTTTTTTTCCCCCTTATTTTAGATCGAGCAAAAATTTGGAAGGGAAGAAAATCGGATTTAAATGAAACCGGTTTATACCAGTTGTTTGAAAGTTTGGGGAGAAATTCCATTTTCCCGAATCGACGTCAGAAAACCGCAGCATCCCCGACAATGGCAAAGGCTAAACGAGAATCGATCGGCGTCGATAAGGGCGTTTCGATGGAAATTCGCATCGTTACCCGGAAAGAATTTCCCCATCTCCCTTCGGTTAACTGTTCGGCATTTCGGCCGAATGGAAGGAGCCCGATCGTGACACGGAACGAGGTGAAGAAATATAAAAAAAAAAGGATTTGGAGCGGGATTATCAAATCTCGTTTCCCTTTAACAAATTTCCTTCCTCGGCTCTCGTTGCTTTCGTTCAGCCTTTCCTACGCTCGGAAAATCCAAGGGAACGGTCAAAGCGCTTTCAACCTCTCTGCCTTCCTGATAACCAACCACCGAAAAAGATCGATCATCATCCGCGGCTACGATCCGCATTGAAATTTTCTCCTTCTCACGGGTTTTTCCCTTCCCCTCCTTCCGACCACTTTGGGGGGTCGATCTTTCTCCTTTCTCTTTCCTCTGATGATTCTCCCCTGATCCTCGTCCAACGAGGATAATGCCTGATCCGGCAAAGCATCGTTCTTAGAAAACAAGGAAACGAGGGAAGAATGGGCGAAGAAATGGAAGAAACAAAAGGAACGGCGGGGGGAGGGGGAGAAGAAAGAAGGGCTGAAATTCATTCACTTTCCCATGGAACGAT